CCCCAAAACCCCAAAACCCCAAAACCCCTGAGTAAATCCGAAGGTTGACTGGGTGAGAGTTTTAATTTATCAGAACCAAATAGGCAGAGTTGTGGGGATTGGCGAAATGAAGTTGGGAATTTGGATGGGTTAAAGTAGAGACAGAGGAGGGAGGGGTGGAGTCTGGGCTAGATGTTGTCTGGGAAGATTGAAGAGATATTTTGGTTTTTGATATTTTGATGGTATGTTTAAGCTGTCTTCTAATACTTGTTTTTGTTCTTCCTTAGACTTTTTCTAATAATAAATCAATAAGGTGAGATTATGCCGATAGCTTCATCAAAATTTTATAATTTATTTGTCTTAATATACATGCCATTCTCATCTTAAATCTTTTTAATAATTGGGGCCAACTCCATAAAACGAATTAATTTAATTAGCATGAAAATCCAAGCAAATCCATATATAGTAATCTAGTTCAAACTAGGAATCTGAACACATCATCAAGTACCGATCAGTTGTTGAAGAAACTCAGAGTGTTCTAGAATTGAAGGAGAAAAATAAAAACAATTTAGTATGAGCGAGAATAGATTAGTTAAACAAAAACATATGGTGAAGCTATCAGGTTTAAACTATAAATTTCTCGATAAGTATTACTTGGAAATCGCTTCACAGCATTTCAAAATAAACTCCTGGATGTTTGTACCTTTAGAACCTTATAAGCTCTCTGAAACCTCGCACTTGGCCGCTTAATCTCTCAGCCCAAGCTCCTTGCACAAATTTGTCCGAAGCTGAAGCCTCCAGTGCCCGGCTGGTCAGCTCCAGCTAGAGCAAAGATTGGAGGAGTCCAAGGGAGTGCTCACAGATTGGGAAGAGAACGAGGAAAGTAGCCATTGGGTTAATGGCTGAGTGAGGTTGGGGAGATAGGGGAATCGAAAGGTGGATGGGAATTGTTGGTCCAAGAGAGACAATTTAAAATAGAGTTAGGGGTTTTGGTGATCTTGGGTCTGAATATAAAAATTTGGTTTTTGGACGCTTCTAATAAGATTAAAATTTGTATCAAAAATTAAGTAGACAAAACTTTAAAGATATTCTATTAAATAATATAGCAACCCATCATGAACACCAAACCCCTCTCTAAACTCCCATTTCCAACGACCCCACCCTCGAACCCATTCAGCACATCAATCCTAGACCAAGTGTCCACTGCTTCCTTGGGAGAATCCAATTTTGGCTTCTGGCCTTGTGCCTCCTGCGGGCGAGCAGGCGGAATGGACGACCAGGGCTTCCTTGGGCGGAATATTGGCAGAGGGATTTAGGGATTTGTGCGGGCTAGCTCCTCGGGTGGAACAGTTTGAGATTTGGCTGGTTATGCGAGGATGGAATCATCCGAGTTGGTAGGGTGCGGGTTTTAGAGCGTAATAGGGGTGAGATAGATTGGTCCTGTTTTTAAGTGAAATTGGGAAATTAGTGAGACTCGACCGTGAAAGTTACTTGCAACTAACACTCTTGAGAAGTGAATTTCCCTCGTCTGAGTTTGACTCTTCTAACCTAAAGCGTATGACTCCACCAGATGCTTGCATTAAAACGGTTAAAAAATATGTTTAAAGGAATTTGAAACAAAAGTAAGTGCAGTGACAGGACTGATAATTCTGAAGAATTTGAAAATGACTTTTCTAAATCAAACCTGGAAACTCACTCGGACTAATAAAGTTTAGCTAAACCTATGAGTGAAGACAAAGTTGCACGATTTCTGTCTTGGAAAGGTAAGGACCAGTCATATTGAGGTCAAAGGTAGTCTTTTTAATCTAAAGTGGATGGTGGCATTCGAAGGTGTATTCCTCAGATTTTGGCATCTGAGGAGGGAACTAATGATAACTTTTATGATCTTTCTCAGATAAACCTAAAGTTTAGCTCTTTCGAGACTTCAATAGTTGATTCTTTCCAATCATTATTTGAATTCTGAGCAATTATAAATTAATACTGACAAATACCTTACCCTTCTGAACTCGAAGGTCAGGAACATATTAGACAGCTGAAGAGAGAAGTCTTAAAGTTATATGGTCAAGAAGGATAAGAGTTCTTTCAACTCTCCGGTCTAACTACCCCATGAAGTTCAGCTGCAAATGATTTCTAATTTTGTTTGTGTCAGTAATTTGAGATCAGGCTTTTAGCACGATAAACGATTAGTCCGCATGTGTTCTGTAGAATTTATAGAGAACCAATTATTCCCACCCTCTTTAGGACCTGGGCCGACTCAGGTTTTAAGGTTCGGGGATGAAGAGGGAATTGAGGTTTAGAGGTATTTTTAAAGGAGGATTAGCATTAAGATTTAGTCCAAAAAGTCAAACTTAATATTTTAGCCCAGTAGTTTAGCTTAGAAAGATGAGATTTGGGTATAGATGAAGTTTTATCAAGAAAGTGGTTTCTAAACAGTTTGGAATAAATATAGCGTAAGAATCAATTATGATGGTTCAGATTTTCATTCTTTTCATGACTAGTGAATCTCGAATTTAAGCTATTCTAACTTCAAGGAGAGCTAGAAGATGCTTTCACAAAAGGTATGTTCTGTATTCTTTTCCTGGTGCTGTAATAAGAAACAATAAGAGAAAATCTGTATTCTTGAAAGCATTAGCGCTTTGTATGCTCTAAGTATTTTAAATATTTTTAAGTTAGGTAGATTTTAATGGAGATCTTTAAATCTTGTGTAAATAACTAGCTATTAAACTCAAAGTTAATATTATACTCAAAATCATTATCTCCAGTTTGCACTAATTATATTATCACTTCCTTAACCAAGTCAATGAGTTGAATAAAACCAGTTAGGCTTTGTCCTTCGAACCCTTGATTGACACAAACAAGATCTATTTGGCTTGCCGTTGTCCAGTTCGAAATAAAGTGCATAATAGCAACACTTTTTCACATCGCTTCTAATAAGTTGTTTGAGTGAAGCCAATTTGAGTCAGGATTAAACAAATGAAGAATCTAGTGGTGAAAACTTGCAATTTGAGATATCCCAATTCCTTTAATTAGGATCCCTAGCTTGTTGTAAGCAAGGCTGCATGAGATTGGTTAGAATTTTAGAAGCTTTCATTATTTTACTTTGGTGCCTCCTGATTTAAAATTAGAGTTTCTCAATTAGTAAAGTTGGGAAACAATAACCCTTTAAATATATTTTCCATACAATCAAAATTACAAAAGGTTGGATTAACAATAACCTCAAAATGTCACATTGGAACCAAGAACCATCATTACCTTAATATAACTGCAGATATCTTAAGTGTCAATAAAGACTCTCCTCTGTTTAAGCTTCTTTTCTTGTACAAGTTCATATTTCCAAGTTATCTCTTAAAATGCTATCCATTGAAAGTATGTCTCAAGATAAATCTGGTAAATCCTGTAAGGTTGCTAATATCTTCTGGGAGTATTATCCATGAGGGTAATAATATAATTAGAATGGTTGAAAGCAAGTATTCAACGATGAAGCCACCCTCAGGGGTTTTGGGGTTTTGGGGTTTTGGGGG